TCATCGAAGTCATGTGAACGAAACGTCGTATAGTGCCATATAGCGAGTTATAGAGATGACGAACTCTTAGTATCGAAGTGAAACAGTCTTGATTAATCAATTTAAGTTCCACAACGATTGCTTCTACTTTTTAAAATATGGAGTTCTATTACAAGCTGTCTAATATTACGAACTCATGAGTAGTTGAGGCTAGTATTAGTGTCGAGTGTAGTTGCTGAAACCCGATACAAAAAAGCCATTCTTTAGAAGTTTTTACAATTTGTAGCTTCAGCTTATCATTTACAAGTTCACTGCTTTGCCTGATAGATTTTCACTCCATTTTACTCCACATTAAAAGACTAACCAGGAGTTAAAATCGCGGTAGAATGATCGCCAGGTCTCCAGGTTTGGATGGCTAAATTTATCAGCAGAAACTGATTGAAATCCTGTCACAGTACAGGTTTCACTTTCCTGTGATCAATAATCGCTTATTTTCGCTGTTACAGAAACTAAAGATGGCTACTGGATGGTCAACAATTACAAAAGAAAACACCAACTTTGCTCGATTGTGTAAATTACTCATCGATGGAGGAACTCATGCCCTTAGAGTCATTTTTGATGCCAAACATCCACCTCACGATCTAAAGAAACATTTGATGGACAGCAGGATTCATAATATCTTAAAGAATTTGAAGGCTAAAAAACTTCTACGAYCAGAGCAGTGGAACAGACTGTATCCAASTGTRGGAWYSGCAACATCTRSAGGTTTTGACATAACTCTYTTAAGTTTACTGTTGCGCAATATCTGCAATTTGCCAACACCAGTAAAAGGATGGAACGAAGAGCCTGCTACAGGAAGTGTTAACGTGGAAGATGATGTAGTAAGGTTGAGATTATACCGTAATAATCTCTATGGTCACATCTCTGAACCAGCTCTATCAAACGCTGATTTCAACAAGTACTGGAACGACATTGAAACTGTTTTGTTAAGACATGGTGTAAACAAGACAGCCATTGATAGTCTTAAGACACAATCCTTCGAACCAGAAGATGAAGACTACTACATCAAATGCTTAAAAGAATGGATCACTAATGAGGCTGATAGAGTTATCCATGAAGTGAAGGAATCAGTGAAGGAATCAGAAAAGAGAGTGCTGGATGAATTTGAAAGCGTAAAGGACAAGCTGGAAAAAGTTGATAGTAATATAGAGCAAAAGCTAGACCAACTAAGTCCAACGCGACCTTCAAGTCGACCGACAACATCTCAAGGTATGACAGTATCATCAGACTCTTTTCTCGATCATGTAGCCCCGAGTTTTTAATTCGGAGATTTAACGAATTTGTTATAATTTCCCCATTTACCACTGTACGCTAGCCAGTCTTCAACATTGTTATTCGTTCACTCGACGTAAACTATCACGTTTGTTTTTTACTCATATACGTGTGTTAGGGACTGCACAATATGGGGAGGGGTTTGGGGGTGTTGAGAATACGCGCTCGACCACGCCCAAATTTGCCTCGGTCACGCCCAGCGCATAACTCGATGCAACTAACATACATTAGTGTCTTCGATTAGCGCGTAGCTCGATGAAACTAACATAACTTAACTAAGTCAAGACAGAATTAAGTTAATATAAGTTATTTATTACATCATAATTTTTTACAGAACGGAACTCGAAGTAACTTCTTTAGATATCATGTCTTTCTAAGTTTTCCAAAGTAACGACATTATGCTGTAAGAGCTTCTATATTATTCAAAATATGCAAAATATCTGAAAGGTCGTATAAACAATAAAAACGGTACAGTCTTTGCAGTTTTGTCAGTATCGTATAACTTTGAATAATATTTTGATCGTTTGAAATATATAAGATCTTATGTTTCTGTTCTTTTTATTTGGTGTTTTTCTTACTTTATTTATCGGGACTTACATATTAGCGAACTTTGCAAAAATGTTTATTAGTACTAATAAAATAAAAATTCGCGAAACTTTTATTTCCATATAAAGCAACAATGAATTACATTTCTACTAAAACAGGAAAATTTCGCGTAATCTCATTTCTCAACATTCGCGAAGTAGCGCTTTGGTACTAAACATTTCTTTCTACTAATACAGAAAGAGTAACCTCATTTCTCAATATTCGAAACAACAGGGAATGTATACACAAACTTCTATGCCATTTAATATCCTTTAATATCATTCGTACAATAATCAGAGTTTCCATTCTAAAAAGCTAAAGCACTGATCAGAGTTTAACTGACTTCACAAACAAAATGAAAATATTAAATAATCAAGTTCAAAGATTTGCAAAATGAATTCAATGAATTTACATCTCGTTAACAAAGTTCTTTTTTAAATAAATAATAACTCTCATGAAATGTCCCGGCAGAGGGTCTATTGCGTATTGAGCACTTTTACAAACGGGACGCCTGTATGACAGTCACATTATTTCTAAATTAAAGAATACTTGTTTTAAAATGCTCCTGAAACGATCATTTGTCATAGGTTGGACGACCTCTCGACATTATAGGTCATAATTATATAGCCACATATTAATCCCAAATAGGTAAAAGCTGGATTTTTCGTTAATTTTGGAATCCTGTCCAATTAAGAAATTAATTGGACAGGTTTTCAATGAAGGTGTCATTACTGTTATTGTTAAAAGCTGTGGTTGGCTTTTACCTATTTGGGATCAATATGTGGCTATATAATTAATAGGTAATAAGACTCCATGCCACGGCCGAGTCCAATTTGGCAGTCCTCGGAATTTTCCTCGTCCAATTATTTCTTAATTGGACAGCATGGAGTCCTATCACATATAATAATTTCAGTTCTAGGGCCCTTGATAAAACAAAAGGAAAATCACTTTTTGCTATACGGGTACGTGCCGCTGGCCAGGGTATGTTTTTTGGCTGCTGTCTTATAAATTCATTTCACCTGAAATTGTCTTAAACAGGCTCTAAAATTTAGATAAAAGACCGATATAATTTTTTGTGTCTTGGACAAGGCAATATTTTCATAAGAAATACCGTAGAAATAGTAGAAATACCGTTTCACTGTACCAGGATTAACATGTGTGGATTATGGATTTTCACTTTCTAGTGTCTTAAAAAGGGTCAGGGATTGTCCCCCCCCCCCCCCCCCGGCAATTTTCTCCAAAGCTGTACGTTTTCATTTCAGTACGCCACGTTATTTGAGTGAACTTAGGAGGGTATTAACGATATTAGTGGCATAGATTAAATCGCTTGGCTGCATAAGCGGACGGTACGTACCATGGTACCTAATAACGACCGTTAAATAACGTTGGGTACTAAAATAACAATGTACAGCTTTTGACCAATTGGAATGTAGAAAATTGCCGACCAACCCACAAGGGAATTCGGGATGCACTCAAGATATGCACAAGAAGTTAAATAAGTGAATTTCTATAAGATGTTCAAAGCTATAACAAATACAATCGTAATATCATTCAAAAACTGTAATGGTTTTCCTGGCGCCCTTGATTCATTCAGACATAGTTAGGGAAGGTACGTTTATTATCGGGGGGGGAGGGCTGGAGCCTCAGAGGGGAGGGTCATTAGTCAAATTTATAAGCTTAAGGGGAGGGCCACATATTTCATTTGAAGCTATCAAGGGGAGGGTCATCCTTTTAAGTAGCACCCTACAATTGTAGCAATTAGAACTCATTTTAATTTGATCATATTTTTGTTATTTTATTTTACGTATGAAACAGTTATCTCAACCTCGATAATATAAAATTGGAATTGCAATATTTCCTGTGTATTTGGAAAATTTATCTACAAGTTTACTAGTCACAAACCAATCTGAGTCAGTTAAATGTCAATTTGAGTCCACGAGACAAAGTTGTCTCGAAGGATTCTGGTTCTTTTGCGTCCATAACCTGAGGAAGTAACATCAGGTGGGGCGTCCGTTACTTCATAAAGGAACTGCCCTCTGAGGAGTCACTTGACTCACTCAGAGTAGAACTTTCAGAGCCAATTCTTTGATGAATGAAGTCACTCTCYGAGTCTGATACGGTTGGAGCCGTGGCTCGGTGAGCCTCAGTGTCCTGTACAATGGAGGCGAGGATGTTACTGCCCATGTGCGCTTTTATTATAGCAATTTTTTGCTTTTTGACTCCTTTGAATGTCATCTTGTGATGATTCAAATACAAATTAAGTTCGCTTACTTTAAGCGTTGCTAAACTGTCAGAGTTGTAAAGATAAGTCCAGTCAATGTCGTAAAAGTCAGTCAAACCTCATAAAAGTGCGAATTATATTCTTTAAATTCACATTATGGTAATAATTTTCTTTTTCTGACTGGTTGCATTAATTTTCAAGTAAAAAAATTAGACTAAACAGAGAGATAAAAAATAGATAAATTATAGATAAATTGCATCCTTTCACGCACCCTTTTTTCTAGTTAAACATCATCTAGATTCAGTCACACTGTAAATAGTATAGTTAGATTATTTCTTTTCTTTGCAGATGCGGAACGTTACTGTGAAAAACTAAAGGAAGCAATAATAACACAAACCGACGATCTACAACCAAAAGGAATGATYCATGCACCAATGAAGACCGACGATATTTTCACCAATGTAGTTGTTCACCACGGAAAGGAAAGATGTCCAGAACAAATTCAATCGAGTGGACAGCACCCTGTACACCGTAAAACGCTGACCGAAATTAAGCACTGCAGTGAAATTTTTGCTGATGAAAACCTGACTTTCTTCCAAAATATTCTGGCAAAAATTCGAAAGCTCAGAAAAAAGAATCCTAAGAGAATAATAGTTTCTGGRGAACCAGGAATAGGAAAGACCTTGTTTTCGCAGAAACTTGTTAGAGATTTGGCCAAGAATTCCATATCAATCCCTGGCGCCAAGTACACTTACCTGATTCCCTTCAGATTATTAAACTCACTTGACAAAGAACTCAGCCTCCAAGAGCTGCTTAATCTCTCCCCTTTGCTGAACGAAGTCACAATGATAGACGACGCGCTAATGGAATATTTCTCTCAGCATTCAGAGAAATTATTGATTGTCCTCGATGGCTTTGACGAATATAAAAATCGCGACAAAATACTCAAAGATGATGAAGGACCCAATGATAGTAAAGCCAAGATGCCAGTAACAGCCCTTGTCAGCAAACTAATCCAAAAAAAGATCTTGAGTAATGCAGTGATCACGGTAACCTCAAGACCGGGCGAAGCCGACGAGCTGAACCAAAAAATCCACTTTGATCGCTATGTGGARATTTCAGGATTCTCAGAACAACAGGTTATTGAATTTGTTGAGAAATATTTCAGTACAAAACCAGAAGAAGTAAAAAACATGGCACTTAGCAAGGTTAAAGAAAGCGCGCACTACATTTCATTTGGTCGCGTCCCTTTCCGTTGTTTGTTGATGTGCGTGTTCATCGAGTGGAAAATCAAAAAACACGATAATTCATGTCCTCTCACACTTACAGAGTTTTATTTTCAAGTAATTCAATGCATTGAAAAGAATTACAATAGAGCAATACTTAGTTTAGATGACAAAG